ACTTCATTTTGATATGATTAATAATATATGTCAGTTCGGTGAAGAAAAAATTATTTAGGGGTTAGAAAATTTTTTTTTGATTTTTAGCCTCGTTTCCATGCTAAAGTCAGGCCTTAATACACCTGAGTTGGACCGGTTTGATTCAACTGAAAATTTGCATACTTTTGAGATCGCCGCTGTGCCAACAGTTTTTCTCGGATTTCTCAGATTTTTAGCGGTTTTTTGAAAAACTAACTACACCACGTTTGTTTACTCGATAATACCTTCCAGCAAACCAAAAATGAGCAAAATCGAAATTTTGACTGTGACCGCGARTTCTCGATTTTGCTCGATATTAGTGGACATCTGCTCTTAAGTGCTATCGCCATACATTTTCTTATTACATGACACCACAGAAATCTACCTTGGGCTATGGTTCTATATAGCATCATGTGACAGTAATGATGAAAAGGTAAATTATACACCGTGAAAAGATATGAAAAAACTTACTGACATTTCGGACGCTAGTCCATCGTCGGAGTAAAAGAAGGACTAGCGTCCGAAACGTCAGTAAGTTTTTTCATCTTTTCACGGTGTATAATTTGCCTTTTCATCATTACTGTTTCATTAGAAACGCCGACGCAGCTCACACTAGTTTTTAGCATCATGTGAGTTTATTTGAAGAAATTTCATAGTTCAAGTCACCAAGCAGTCCAAAATCTCTTTCCCTTTAATAGATGCATATACCAGTGCTTTTTTTTTTTTTTTTTTCGAGATAAGGAATAAAACCTTTCACCTCAACATAAGGTGGTCTGTATAGTGAGGATACCAGAAGTGAAGCTTCCTTTAATTAAATAGCTACTTCGAAATAATTAAGGAAAAACCTTGGCTGAGTTGACAATGCAGTGCATTTTGGGGCTGCTTCAGGAAACAAAATACACGTCATCTTGAAAATATATCCCCTAAAGTAAAGCAAAGAATCGAGAAGACCAAAACGTGTGTGCTCTATAGCCTACTGAGGAGAGGGCGACACTTGACAATCGTAGCTAAGCGACTAAGTGGTCTTTTAACGTTTTAAATTTAAGAAGGCACCGCTATTTTTACGTAAACGGATTGAAGTATGTGTGTGTGTCTGTGCTTTTTCTTTTTCTTTCTTTCTTTTTTTTTTTTTTTTTTCTTTT